TCTCAGTCCCAGCTCCACCAAGCCCCTTCTTGCCCATCCTGGCACCTCCTCATCTCCTGGAGGGTCAGTAGCTCCTCGAGGAGATAAGGAGAGAGATGTGTGTTGACAGAAGCTCTCCCTCTTACTTAGAGGAGATGATGCACCGCCTCTATTGTAGCCACAAGAAACAGCTCTCATATTGCTGTTCCACATTAATTAGGAAGAAGTAGGAAAATTTGGAAGTACAATCTGTCATGGCAGGTCCCAGGTGTGCATGGATGGGAATGAAAAAAGAGTTAAGCAGTAGTTGTGTCTGAATGCCTGATGGAGGCACTCTTCTGGTAACACTGAGAGATTTTAGCATATTAAGGGGGAGGAAAAAAGTAACTTCTTCTGACTTGAGCCATCAGAGACATCAAAGAGCCTTCCTGCAAGCATGGCTGAGTTTTGCGATTTGGATCTGGGATGCAGGCAGGTGATGGTCAGCAGTTACTGCCTGCCTGCTGAACAGATGCACAGGCTTAGCCAGCATGGACAGTAATACAGATTTCCAAAATTTTTCACTTAGCTGTGATTATTCTTTGAGATACATGGATTACAGTAAGGAGCACATGGGACGTTTCCATGCCTGTTTGTCATGACCAGCATGCATGGCTGGGGGAAATGGCAAGCAGAAGGTGCACCCCCTGGTACAGACTTGTTTGGGTGACATGCAGAGGTGTCAGTATGTATATGAATGTCTGATGGCACACCTCCTGCTGTGGGGCACTGCTAGTGAGATCTGCTGTAAATGTTTTGATGACATAGCAACCACAGCATCACTGGTTTGCCTGATTCTGGCACAGTTTTCCTGCTCTCACTGTCCTGAACGCAATTAGTTGTATTTCTGCATAGCTTACACAAACTATTGAAATACCTTGATTAAGAAGTTGTTCATCTTGACGTAATTTTTACAGCATGAACAGTATGAACGCAGATGTCTACTGCTGGTAGTTAAACAGATCCACTCGCAGAGTATTTGATGTACTAAACCAGCATATTTGAATTGCTTTCTGTATAAGGCGTGTAGCTGCTTCTCTGCATGGGTTTGTAACAAGAAGGGGTCATCTGTCGGACATCGTAATTTTCAAGATAGAGCAAAAAAGAAAAACCAGTTAGTGTTTATATAGGCAGAGCTGAAAATTTTTGTTACTGATTTCTAGGGCACAGTTCTGAGCTCACTGCAAACACCGTATTTCTGGTAATTAAAACCACTGCCTTTTCAGGAAGAAGTAAAATATCCTAAAAAAATACCATATAATGTCAGCAAAAAGGCAGTGAACCAAGCTCTGGGATGCCTCAACTCTTCTTAATATTTTGTTTGCGTTGGTTTTTGGTCATGTTTTTTTAGGCCTTGGATTCTTAGGGACCTTTCAGGTAACAGTGGCAGTTGCTTCTGTGTACGCCTGCAGTGTACTCTGACCAGCTTGATGGTGGTGACCTGCCATTGCAGTGATCTGCAGGGCCGTGTGTGTGGCTCATCCAGGTGTCACTGGGAATGAAGACTGCTGAAAATATTCTCCTGCAATGTCCTTTTTGTATGTGTGTATGTGTGTGTGATTTATACAAGCACTTTATTGAATCCTTTCATTCCTGAATATTTTCACCCTTCCGGCACTAACTCTGCAGTTTTCCTGAAACTTAATGGGAAAAAAATATCCTAAAGGTAGATGTTTTTCTGCTTGGAAAATCTTTGAAGCTAGAATTTACCCTGCCTTGATTTTCCTGCAGTTTTTCTGGTTGACTTTGCTCATGGACTTGAGTCTTCCAACTGTCCTTTTTCCTGCTGGCACGTGTGCCAGATTTTGGTACTTGAATAACTGAATTATTCACTCTAGGAGTTTCTGGACTGGCTTTCTCATTATTCTCATGTGGTTTATTATTTTTGGCCTATTAACTCTGATAGGTGTTAAATTTAATTATAAGAAATTGAACTTGATTATTTAACCTTAATTAAGGCACTGAGTCTCCATTCCTCAAATTACTTGAGAAAGTATTACAGTATTTCCTTTCTGTATAACCTACATTGAGGAGTGTCAGTGAACTGAAAAAGAAAGGGAGGGCTCGTTGCTTTCCTGAAGTGCATGTTAGTGCAGCCTGGTGTCACAGGTGGACATGCTGCAGTGGAAGGAGTGCTGCACCTCTGGGCTGCCCCACACACCTGCTGTGTGATCCACATTTGGGCACGTGGGCAGCCCTGCTCCATCTTAAACACTGGCAGTGCTGTGCCGTAATAAAAGCCTGCAAACGGGATTTCTTATCTGAAAAATAGCCTTCCCGGTTCAGGATTTTGGGGTCTACTTATTGTCTCATTCAAATCATCTCATGCCAAGTGTGTGGGAGAGACGTTTTCCTTGAGTGTGGCTTAAGATTCAGCTGGAGTGTATGGGCTCTCTAAACCAGTATTTTAAAGTTATAGTCCATCTTATTTTATCCAAGAGCGATGGGTTTCTTTTCAAAGGATTGAGCAGTTAGGGTATGCAGATTTTCATCTTTTTTATTTAATTTATATACCTTTCTATGTGGCACGTCATAGACAAGTCCTTATGAGGTACCACAAGTCTTTAGTAATATAATTTAATTACTTGGAGTGAATGATCCATCTTTACTGAGTGGAACATGTGACAGTTACTCTGCCTTGGTGAAAGGACAAATTAAGAAGTGAATAAAACTACAGGGCTTTTGGGGAGTTGGGGTCCCTCAGCTCAGGTAGTTGGGCAGAAGGGAGATTCTGGAGGTGGCTGTGGTGGGGACTCTCACACTGACAGCTCTCAGGGATGGGCCGTCCTCCCACAGTTCTGTGGCTGTGAATTTTTAGGATGCTCTGAAGCAGGTTTATCCATGACTGTGTGTGCCACAAGCTTTCTCAGTTCTATTTCTTGTATCAATTCCTGTGTTTATTGTGCTAGATGTTTCCCAAGTGCTTTCTCCAATGCTTGTGTAACGTTCACTGTTTTTCTTATGTTAAAGCATCCAAAGGAAACAAATACGAAAATTAAGTAGAGCATTTTGTACCTACGATAGAGTTCCTCCCTTAGTCTGATTAAGCCTGATAATTAATCTGGTTTAAATCTTGAGTTTGCCTCCCATGACACCCAGCAAACTGCTGCTTCCCACCCCATATGATCGCATTGAACTTAATTAGCATGTGGGGAATGTGCTAGAGAGCTTTGCATTGTCCAAGTTAAAGTGAAGCACAAACATGTGGAATTTCTCCCTAAAGTAACACATTGCTTCTAAGGAAATGAGAAAGTGATGTAAAATGCATGGCTGGTTGGTTCTCCAGTTGAGTAAGAAGTGGTTTCTGAAGGACATGAATTATGCAGTAAGTCATTTTTAATATTAGTTTCACTGATGCTTTTTAAAGTGGCTGTGGCATTCTGAAAATACTCTGAATGCAGCCATAGCAATGGCATTCTGAAAATATGTTACACAGTCAAAATTTATGAAAAGAGCTACCCCCCCAAAAAAGACACTTACCTTCTTGAGTAAACCAGTGGCAAATTAAGCAACTTCTTGCCTTGGAGAAAAAAATCAAACGTTGGTCCTGTGAGCTTTGGTACTTGCATTGCTTTAAGCATAGGGTTAGTCTTATGGGTAAGATCAGGGTGTAAACCCCCTCAGCCTCAGACCTGAGCTGTATCTCAGAATTTGTGACCTCCCTGTGCAATGCTGATATGAGGAGAGGTGGATTCAGAGGTCTGAAATCAAATCCAGACTCTGAGGGAGATGTAGACAAATCACCATGCAATTAGATGGCATTTATCCAGATCTTTTCCCCGCTCTGCAGTGTTTGTGTAGGAGGTGAGTCCCCCCGGGAAGGACTGCACCGCATGTGCAGCAGATGCAGCTCTTGGCCGGTCGCATCAGCTAAGTAAATTTTGTAATGACTGGGATGGGTTTGGCTCTTTGACATCAACTAAGCTCCTCAGAAGAGATGAATCAGCATAATTCCTTGGTGTTGCTGAGGTTGTTGGTGCTAAGAGATATGGTTTGTAAATGTATTTAAAAAAAATCCTGTGTGATGCCAGCAAATAACCAAGCAAAAGGTATTCTGGGCCAAATTTAGCAGTTATTTGAGCTTCAGTGATGTGCAAAAGCCTTGTGTCAATTGAAAATCTTTTCCCTGCCTGCACAAGCAGTCTTTTTGCCCAGTGTTCTGAGTTTTTCCCTGTCCGTAGAAATTCCATTGCTCACTGAGTTGATTGTTGCTGCTCAGTGGTTGAGTTGTCCGTGTAACTCAGGTGAGCTCCTGGTGGCTGCTGGGAGACTGAGGTATAAGCAGTGGGGCCTCATCCTGCAGGGTGCAGGAGTCAGTATTGGTTTGATGATGGAGCTAGAGTCATGAATCTTGCATTGGCCAATGGTGTAGGGCCATGTTGGGTTTGATGCTGCCAGAACCAGAGACGCGTCTCCTCTCTGTTAACTTTGGTGAGTATGAAGTGTGCTTCTCTGTTCTGGGATCTTGAGCAGAAAGCCTGGAAGGATGGCCATCTTTCTTGGCAGAGGTGCAAGGAGAAGCTTGAGTTGTGCTGCCAAAGGATGGCTAGCCTAAGTCTCAGCCTCAGTTTCTGTGGGTATTTCAGTGTTGGAAGGAGATACATAGACATCAATACTGTGGTGATGTTAAGCACATTCCTTCTGAAGGTCCTCTTCTGAATCTCTGCTTTGGATAATACCCTGAAGAGATCTGGACCTGCTTCTCCCACCCTAGCTGAGCTGTGTAACCATGCAGCCTCTTGACATGGGAAGATTGTCATCACCCTTTTCCTTCCTCAGTAGTTTTTATAAATAAAGCCTGCATTTTTGAACAGCTAAATCTGTGTGCTGAATTCAACCCAAGGCCATAAGTAACTTCAGATCCTCCAGAACTGTATTTATGACAAGTACACTATTTCTGTTTTCATCAGACATGTGACTGATATTCCTGTTGGTCTCTCTTGGCTTCTTTTCCATAACTGTTTTCTGATTGTTACCAACAGGAGTTCTTTCTGGCTGGGCTGAGTGCTTGCCCTCACAGGAGACGTTTCTTCAGCCTGCAGCAGTGGTGAGCTCCGACACACGCTGGTCCCGTGGTTTTCAGTGCTGTGGGATGAGACCTCCTGGTCAGCTCAGCCCCAAGGTGGGTCCCTGCTCAGCTATTCCTTCGTGATTTCCCCAGGGCCTTTGTCATGTATTTCTCCTTGTTTGCCATGTCTGTCCTTGCTCACAGCGCACCCTCCTGCATATCCAGATCAGCCATGGGTTTCTGGATGTCAGCCGCCGTAAGTGGTGTTTCTGTTTTGAAAGGGAAGGTATTCAGTGGCAAGGAAAACATTTACTGGTGGAGAGTTCTAGCATCTGCAGTCTCTGCTTGGGTTTCTGGTAACAATTTCAATATCTTTGCCATAATAATATTAAACAGGTACTGTTGAGTGAAGGACAGTTATAGAGTGTTGGATTTTGTTTGCCTAATATTCACTTCAGGCTGCCAGTGAGAGTCATTCTGCTGATATTTATGGTATTACAACTGAGCGACTCCTTTTAAATCAACAGCAGTAACACAATGTGAAATGAGAGCAGCGTTTGGTCTGGCACCCAGCACAGCTCCCGACGGTTTGCTCTGATGCTGTAGGTGGTTGCAGTGTTTTTTCCACTCTTGCAGAGATTCCTGCACAGCTGCGCTCCCCGGCAGCCTGAATTATGCCCTGGGATTTATGGAGCTGAACAAATGATTGTAGAAAAGCTATACACTTCATTACGCTTGGGCCAGTTTTCGCAAGCCAGAAGGCAAATCCTCTCTTCTCTACCTGTGCTCTGTCTGTGCAGCTGTTGTGCATCCTCGTTGATGGTCTGAAAGTTGCAAGTGATGGAATGATTCAAGGAGCCCAATTCTCCGTTGGGAGTTGAACTTAATAGAGGTCTAGATCTTGCTGCATTTTCTCACTGGATGTGACTTTGCAGGGGAATGCAGCACTGTGTTGGGGACCAAATCCAACTGAGCGTGTAGAAACAAGCTCAGTTCCCGTTAGAGAATTTCAGGATGTCCAGGAGCAGAATGGTTCTCTAACATTATGGTTAAAGTCATTTTTAATTGCTTCTCTTATATCTGTATGAATGATCAGAACTCAGAGTAATGAGAATTAACACCACTGCCATAAAATTAAGATATGACTCAGAACTGAACCTTTGGCTCTTTTGTTAAGTTCCCAAGAGGGAAAGGAGACTTGTACCTGCAGTTTGGCTGGGAAAATAATGGATTTAATCACACAAAGCAGCCAAAGCAGGTTAGTGGCAAATGTGTGCAGTTTTTTCTCCTCAAAATAAAAACTGGTAAAAATTTCTGTAACTTCTTTCAAATTTGCTCAGTGTTTGGTCTCAAAACACATTTCAGGAAGGAAGCAGAATACTTAGTTTCATCTCCATTAGCAGCTTTGGTAGCCTGGAAACTGAGCTGGTGCTATTTGAATTAATGAAGTGTGCAAATTAAAAGTTTTGTCTAATCCTTCCACTATATCAAGTGTAACTGAAGTCCAAACTGGTTGTTCATCAACAGTAGGTTTGCACAGATGTTGCCATGTGTGGCATAAGTTAGCCCACAGGAACTTTTCTGGTGGTGAAAAATGAACCAGAAGAGACTAGACCAGCCTTTCTGATCCCAGCTTGAGTTTTTATCACTCTGTGTTCAGAAATACAGATTTCCATATTGAAACTGGGCACATGGTGTACTGCAAGTTTGCTGTTTCCATGGAGACAGCTATGGAAGCACATATTTCCTTTGAAGAAGGGAAAAGCATGGAACAAAGAACATGTACTCCAAATGGGTAGAAGTTCTTCACCAAACCCAGGCAGAAAGTGAGCCTCCTTTGGCTGTTCCTGTGTAAATGAATTTCCTGTAAACCAAACATGTTTGCATAAAGTCACAGATCACCCACATGTGCTGTGACTTCTGAAGGTTTGTGGATGGAGGTGGGGCATTGCTGATCTCAGAAAGACTTCCTTCAGTGGTTGAGGGAGAGTGGTAAAAAGGGCTGAGCCTGTAGAGGTTTTATGAATTCATGAAACCCTCCTGTTGGGGGAAAGGAACTGCAGAGGCTTTGTCTGTGTGAATATATTGAGTTCTAAGTGATTAGAGTGTTGGGAGAAGCATTTTGGGGCAGACCCAGCAAAGCAGACCTGCAGCAGGCACCATGTCATGCAGGGTTAATTTTTCTACCATCATTTCATCCTGTGTAAAATGAGGCTGAAAAAGTACTCCTTAAATCCCTGTAAGAGCTGCTCCATTGGCCTTCCCCATTGAAGCTGGATCAAATCAAAATTACTTGATTGATTTAGCTCCTTCTCTACTTGCCTATCCTCTGTTACTCAATTTTCTATTACATCTGTGCCCTGTGGTCCAGCCTCCACCTCCTCACGTTGATATCTGTGCTGCTCCTGCATTTCCAGAGAAATCCAGCACAATTTCTACAATTGCTCTGCACTCATGCCTCCCTGCTCATGGCTTCCCTCGTAGATATTCTCTCTTCCTTGCACTCTCACTACAGGCACTTGTGTCAAGGCTGTTTCATAAATGCTAGGAGCTTTTCATCATGCTTTGATGAAATTGTTGTCACAGCAAGTAGAAGTGACTGGATTCTTTTGCTGGTAGTGTGGTGTCACCACCCAAAGGTGGTTCCCCAGTTGCATGGCAAACAGTTGCACACTGAAAGTTTTCTGCATTTTTTTTCCATTTTTTTTTGTGCTAGAGTAAAAGAGCTTAGTGCAGATGAGCACTGGAGGAAACTATATATTGACAGTCATGGATATTGCTCTGGTAATGGATAGTGCTGCTCTTCTTGTTTTCTGATTCATCAGGATAGATGGACTTAATAATGAGAAAACTTTGCCATGAAGATGATGTAAAGCACAGAGCGGATGAAACATGGGGTGAACAGGAAAGGCGTCAGTGGAAGCAGATGGGCAGCACAGCATGTGGTTTGCCTGGCATTTGTTGTTTTGCCATAGGAGGCTCAGAATTGAGTTACAGTGGGACTAAGAAGTGGAAAAACACTGAGACCCATAAATATTCAAAAGAGCAGAAGAAACAAATGTATTGACCTAAATGACCATTGGTGACTCAAAAGCTTAAAGGCAATGTATTTAAATCGTAATTGTGCATTAACAGCAGGAAGGCGTGTGGACAGAATGGGGCTGTGAGGATGGAAAGGGCAAGCTGCTGATTTCAGGAGCAAAATACAAAATAATGGAAATAATTTTGTTGCTGGTCCACCTTCTTCTCCTCTGCCACAGAGACCCTTGACAAACCAGACTTGTAGGTTGGTGTCTTGAATTCTGCCAAAACCAACTTCAGTGCTGCTACCCTTCTCTGAGCAGGGTTTTTCATTAGGCTAACTTTGTCAACAGTTCAATTTGAATCATCACCATGTGATTCATCCTTATGAATTGCAGACAGATTGCAATTTTTGCTTTTGTTTTTCCCAGCTGAAAGCAAGCTGACCTGCAGGTTTTTGCTTTGTTGCATCCGTAGGGAAATTTTGCTGTGTTGGCCCACCGTCGTTTTTCCCTCATTCTGTATTTTTTAAATAAACAGTAGAGATTACCTTGACTGAAAGACTGAACTGACCTCTTTCAAACAAATCTCTTCCTAGAGAAGCTTGAATAAAAACCTCACTTTCATTCCTGCAATTTAATAGATCGTTTTACAGATGAGATATGACCAAAGTACTACGACTGATTAAGTCTTTATGTCTTAGACTTTTGAAAACTGTTTCTCAGATAGAAAAGGTACAATGGCTATTCTGAAACCTAATCTTTATTTTAGGCATCTAGAGATTTCTTCTATATTTGGTTTTGACTTTATTCTGTGTCCTTGTAACCATAATTTATGTATATTTATATTTCCAACATAGCTCCTGCAGTGCCTAAGTTTGCTTCCCTGCATCTGTATTGCTTTGCTCTGTATTTATTCATGTTTTTGTATGCTTGCAGGGAGCTTATAAACAGGAGGGGATCAATGTTTTATAAAAACAGATAGTGATGGGAAAAGAGGGAATGGCTTTAAACTAAAAGAGGGGAGATTTAGGTTAGATGTTAGGCAGAAATTCTTTACTCAGATGGCGGTGAGGCCCTGGCACTGCTGCCCAAAGCTGTGGGTGCCCCATAGACGTGCTCCAGGCCAGGTTGGGTGCTCCAGCTCAGGCCCTGGGCAGCCTCAGCTAGTGGAGTGCCACCCTCCCCACAGCTGTGTGTTGGAACTCAGTGGGATCTTTGAGGTCCCATCCAACCCAAGCCATTTGTGTGACATCAAGGTAAATCCTTTATATTTGCTACCATGGAAAGTTATTCTGCTGGAGATGGTTCTTCGTATTCATTTTATTTTGCAGCAAACATTGAGAGTCAAAAATGCAGAGGAGGGTAACTTAACTATTGGTAACCTGGGGTGACAGTGAGCACAAGGTTGGAGATGAAGGCGAGTTTGAGATGAAGTCTGAGAGAATTTGGAAGATGATTCTGTATAAATAGGTGATTGAGCAATACAGCAGGTGAGATAGGTAGAAGCTGACAGAAGCAGTCATTTGAGAAGAAGCCTGGCTGCAACATGGGCATGGCAAAACAGAGAGCTCCAGAAAACAAGAAGTGTAGAAGTGCTGCAGGTGTACCTAGCTTGCTTAGAGAGGGAAAATGGTGGAGAAAGATTCTACTAAGTTCTTATGCACTCTTCAGATTTTATGATTGCCTTTAGCTAGAATGAAGAAAGAGTAGTTTATCCTCCCCCTGATCTGCAGTTTTCTTGCACTGATTATTAGCAAGTGTGGAAGCATTTGACTCTGCGTGTGTGATAGATGCCAGGAGCACTAGAAAGCTGTCTTTGGTGGGGGAGAAAAGGGTAGAAGAAAATCTTTTCTTATATTTCCTGGAGCAGAGTTCAGTGGAGCATTTCAGATGCTTGCTTTCTGATTATTGCTGTTCTGCTTGCCTTTACCTCTGAATTAGGAAACTCTGTTACTAAGCAGATGGTTTTGCATGTTAGTGTGATTGATTCAGCCCCATGGGAATGTACTGTTTGCTATTAGAAAGCAGAAAAAAAATGCATAAATTGGTAATTAAACTAAAATTAGACTTAACTTACAAATGTTGACTCTG